TGAGTCAATCAGAAATTGATAAGTGGTTTTGCCTCAGATGGTTTAAAATTATGATTTGCTTTCATAATTGGTAGAGAAACATGCTTGGATTGTCTGCTTCCAAGCAATTGCAACATGTGCATTCAGATTTTGTAAGGAACCATGCTTAGAGGAATGTTTTTTCCTCCACGTTCTCACTGGTTTTGTGTTGTTTCGTTTTCCCTTTGTCTATACTTATTGTTTCTTGTTGCATATTGTAAAAGATGTCTTAGTATATTGGATAAGATTGCACTTGTGGCATGGGGCTGCGCATGCCTTATACTTTTCCTGTTTGAGCTTCCGTCTTAGCTCATTTAGTTTAAATTATGCAGAGAAGTACAATATATTATCAGGGTATTTGGCATGCACTTCGTACCATTTGCAGAGATGAAAGTTTCTTTGGTCTGTATAAAGGGCTTGGAGCGACATTACTGGTAAGCTTTCAACTATGCTGTTGTTCATTTGTTGTTCCAACATAGCTTTCGCTCATATAACCATTGAGATATTTTGTGCAATGCAGGGGGTTGGACCCAGTATAGCAATAAGCTTTTCTGTTTATGAGACATTGAGATCTTATTGGCACTCTCAAAGGTGAGGACTCGTAGTTCTTTCTATCAAAAAAGGCATTTCTTATGCCAAGCTATATCTGATTGCTCCTTAGTGTTCTGGTGTATGGTTTCTGAATTTTTAGCATCTTGACATCAGGCCTGATGATTCTCCTATCATGGTTAGCCTTGCCTGTGGCAGTCTTTCTGGCATTGCATCGTCAACAGGTGTGTGATCTGCAACCTACAACTTAAAATACACCCAATGATAATGTTGATTCTGCACCAATATTTTTATATGGGTCCAATTTTGCAAGTGTTACTTGAGTTAATTGAACTGATGCTGCCTTATTACTAATAGTAATAGTATATAGAATTTAACATTGTTTTGCTGTCGGAACCTTGTCATTATTCACCCCTGCATAAGGTATAGATTTTGCTAAATATAGTTTTAGCATCAACTAGTCTTTTGCGTTGAAATAGAGTCACAGAATTTATGTACCTTCGATCATCTTCTAAATTTTTTCTGTTTCGTTGACATTTTGCTTCACAGTTTGCTTGTCTTGTCACAGGAAAGTGATGTGTGTTTCTAAGATGAAATATTTTTGCTATTGATTTCCACCTTTCTCGCCGTATCCACCTTTCTCCCTGTTCTCTTACAAATAAAGTTATGATAATACTTGAATAATGCTTCCATTATGTTAATCAACCTTTGGCATTACCTAAACTAAATATCCAATTCATAGACACAAGTATGCGATGCACGCATTTGACATGAAAATAATAAAAAAATCAACAGATTGTAATGCATTTGCACTTGGAGAGCATGTTGAGGTGTTGATTTTACATTGCATTTCATAACTAGACCTCAATGGTTGATTTTAGCGTGGCGAAACCTGTGCATGAAAGATTTCTGTTTATAGGTTAAATGCTCCTGTATTGTCTCCTTCCTTTTTTTCCCGACTTTTTCTTCTAAACAGCGACTCTTCACAATCTTTTCCAGTGTTGCAACTAAAGATATGCATATTCTGTATGAAGTAGTATTTCCTTTCAAGGAGCTGAAGATAGAGTTTAAGGAAGTTGTCTTTCTCCCCCTTGGAAATTACCATGCTTTATTTAATTATTTTAGGGGCTTACATCCGTTTGAGAATATCAAATACAGAAATTCATGCTCTTCATTAGCAAATAGTGCTTTCTGTCCCTGTGGTAATCCATTTGTAGTTTGTTTAGAAGATTCTTGTCTTAAGTGACCCTTGATAATTCTCTGTGGATGAAGTTTTGAATAATTCGTCAGTCCAGTTGTTCAAATGTTTCTTGGGTACCCATTTATGTTCTCATTTATGATTATAAATTTTATTTTAAAATCAATTTATAAATAGGGAGAGATCAGATTAATTCATCTCTGGAATTAAACTATATATCTCTGGGACAATCAGTGGCATGTGAGACCACGCATATATCTAATTTATTGTTGAATATAATCAAGCAACATAGTTTCCCCTTTTCAAGGTGAACTAGGAGATCTAGTGAGCCTACATATTCAAGCATGTTATCATTTGCATGAACTAATGGTACGGTGAACATAGGTGAGTAATTTGATGATTCCAAGTTAAAATAGGATTCCTTTCTGTTCCTGATGTTCATATTTGTTTGTTATTTGCAGCAACATTCCCTTTGGATCTTGTCAGGCGAAGAAAGCAGTTGGAAGGGGTTGCTGGCCAAGCCCGTGTGTATAAAACGGGCCTATTTGGGACATTTGGGCATATACTGCGCAATGAAGGCCCGCGTGGCTTGTACAGGGGTATTCTGCCTGAATACTACAAGGTTGTTCCTGGTGTTGGTATTGTTTTCATGACTTACGAGACATTGAAGAGGCTTCTATCAAACGGGCCTTTAAACGGCTAGTTGCTACTTATCGCTTTCCAGTGCATCCTGATACCACCTTTCCACGATGAGTTTTGCCAATCAGTTTTTGTAGCTTCTTGTCTTCAGACCTTAAAAGGAAGAGTCCCGTGGTGGTAAATTTTGTTGTTGCTACCATGAAACCCTATTTTTCAATGTACAGGTTATTATTAGATAGTGTATTCACTGGCAATATATGTTTTTAGTCTTAGGGTTCCAAATATTCTCATTCATCGATGATTGTATCATCGTAATTAATTGTTGTTGCAACCATTTTATTTCCAGCTTCGATGCCGGGTATGTTTTCTAGCTACATGCGTGTATTCTTTTGAAGTTTGAGATTGAATTAGTAGCCAAAATGGCTGCTTTTGTTTTTATTTTTGTCAATGATTTGGAAACATACACCTTGTTTGATTTCACTTTCAAAATTCCAGAAAATAGATTCTGAAAACAAAATCCAAGTGACAATGATTGAAAAAATGTTTCATTTGCTTTATCATTAGCCTGAAATGATCTATGAAGAATGAGAGAGGTTCCAGCCTAAATAATGAGGAATCGACACAAGGATGAGGAAGACCTATATGAGTACTTTGGTAGTTTCAAATTTTTTGAGTAATATGGTTTATTTGTTTTTTAAAACTCATTCCTAAATTATCTGTTTCCCAAAAGGTTTTCTAAGTTTGCAAAGAGTTTCTATTGACTTTCTTTGTATATCATTGAAATTTATCAAATCATTTTCCTTAAACATTGTTTAGAAGATATTCTATATTTGCTACAAATCTCTCTAAACAAATCCACAAGAGATTCAAATTTTAATATATATATATATATATATCTTTCTATAATATATGCTATATATTCAGATATTCCTAGGAACATAAATAGGGTGATCTGGGGATTCATCTTTTTTTTAGTCTTTATCGATTTAATTTGAGTGATTTTATCTAATGCAAGTTGTCAAGATGCCATTTCAAATGCTGGTCAAACATGAGCTAATAATTATATTTTTGCTCGTGGATAATGTCATATGTTGCTCTAATTAGATATTTATTGGTTAAAACAGTAAAATTTAATATTCTTTGTTTGAGTTTTTGAAGAACAGCTTGACACATGTCAAGTGATAAATGGCGTGGAGCAATGCATGAAGATTACCAAATAAGCACTCAATTAATACACCTCACATTATAATTTTCTTGACAACCAAAAGATGGTTCTATTTTGATTCCTTCTTTAATTAAGGAAAGGAATACAAGGGAAATTACTAACAGTTGGACAAAAAAAAGTAGTTAATGACACATAATAAAAAACAGTTTTGTTACGAATATAAAAATTAAACACAAAATAACATACATAATACATATGAATGGATAAAATTTTACAGAATTTATTATTGAGACCCACATCTAAAAAATCTTGTCCATTCATTATATTTTGTCTAATTTTGTAACTAAACACGCAGAATATGTTACTACAAAAAAAAAAACCATGATTGACCATCAAAACCTGATGCAATATTTTTCAATTTATCATCTTCAAGAACAAGAACAAGAGCAAAGAGCAAGAGCAAAAACAAGAACAAGAACAAGAGAATCATGCAACTAGAGACAAGTTCATCAAAGCTATAAAGATTCTTGAATTACAATGGTCTTATTAACTTAATCCTCCATAGTGATTCCTACAATCATTATTTGTCTAGTCCAGTTGAGAAAAGCAGTCAAGAAGAGACAGGATTGAAAATCATTGTCTACTACAAAGGAAAGGTTCTCATCTTATGATTGGTTAGGGGAAGAACAAAACTAACAAATGATTCTAGGTGAGAAAGAGCGCACCATTGCTTTATACCATTTGCACCTATTTTGCTTACACCATACCAAATTTTTTTTTTTTAATTCTAGCTTTATGAATCATTATAAATTCCTGCTATTATGCATATTATTATCAACCTTGGCTTTCACACATTCCAATAGTCTATATTCTTTTTCTTTCTTCTCTATGTGTTCTTCGTGGAGTAGATACCAAGTCAGGATCAGGTAATCTGCATCTTGAGGTTTATATCAATATATATGTCGTATGTATCTAGCCCTCATGATACAGATTACCTCTTCCTTACTGGCAACGTGGTAAAGCATAAAAATGCTTAGACGTGCAATTATAGTGATGAAAGAGTAACACGTCATATTGAGATGATTTTCTCTGACTCGGTATAATGATTTCTATTATGCAATCCAATAGAAACTGACTACTTGAGGTGGCTAGTTTGTTTGGTTTAGTTTTCAAATTTTATTTGTAATTTTTTTCGAAAGAACTAAAATGTAATTTGGTAAAATAAAATGAAAGTTTCAAAGAAAAAAATATCATCATTTTTATATCATTTTGAAACTAGTTTTGAATTTTTTAAAGAAAATTCAAGAAACAGATTCTAAAATCTAAATGAAACCATGAAATTACACATTTGTGGATTGTAGTCGCTTTTTATTTTTTTATTTATTTTTATTTTTTTATCAGGCCAATCCATCTACTTGATGAAGAGAGAAGGAAAATCAAAGAAAACTAAAATTTCTTAAATTTTCTATCCTTGTCTGGGTAACCAACCCATCAAGAAATATGTTATTTGACAGATAAATTATAGTTTGAGCTCTTAGATAGGTGACATGGTAAATAATAGAGTCTAGATATGGATCTCTTACAAATCAACTTTCTGATGCTACTTCCTTTGAACTGAAAATTGACAACAAAAAAGAAAATTAAAACACTTCTTCCCGATTTTCTAAATAATCAATAATTTTCAGATGATTTAAACTATTTATGCTTCGTAAACTATAAGTAGAAACTGTACCACACGGTCTAACTTGGTTGCTGCATAACTCCAACAGCTTCTACCTTGGTTTGAGTCAAGTCTTTGCCATCTTTGAAAACAAGAAACTCCATCATATCCACCCTGAAGAACATGAAACTTCCACACAAATGGGTAATGCAAGATCCAAATTCTTTCCCCACCACACAATGCCATGCTGCTCCATATGCTTCATCAAATTTCTGTTCCATTTATGCCAAAAATTTAAATTAAAAAAAAAAAAAAACTTTTTAAAAGTTTTGTTTAGAGAAACTCTTCATAAAAAACCATTCATATTAAACATAAATATTGTTGATATGATTTTATTATTAATACAAATAATTAAGCAATGGGTATTATAATTATTTATTTTATCTGTTTTGGCTCACAATTGAAGGTGGATTTACGCTAATTAGACATTATTCTGAGTAATTTAAAATTGTTTTGTTCTCAGTAGGGTAGGCCTATGTTTGTGAATCAAAGAGTAGTGCTACCGACCCCACTGACAACCCCCAGTGAGGTGTCAGCTCCCCATTGGCTGAAAAAAAAAAACAATTTTTTTCCTCCAATCAGAGAGGACCCCAGTACCCCACTAGGGGTCCAACGCATTTTCCTTGAATCAAATGAATCTTAAAACCATTAATGAGTAAAAAAAAAAAAAAAAAAAATATGCAAAGTAATCACATCTCATTAAACAACATGATTATGTTCGGATATTATTTACGTAACAAAATGAAATTTAAATTTACATAATAAAATGGACTAACATCTATAAATTTGATATAATTACATTAAACTTTTTGCCGGGGGGCGGCCGGAAAGATCACTTTTACCACAGATATGCAAAGTAATCACATCTCATTAAACAACATGATTATGTTCGGATATTATTTACGTAACAAAATGAAATTTAAATTTACATAATAAAATGGACTAACATCTATAAATTTGATATAATTACATTAAACTTTTTACAAATTTGAATTTACATAATACTTGCTAGATTTATTGTATTAATTTTAAATCTCATAATCCGTATAATTTATCTTCCAAAAAAAAGAAAAAAAAAAAGAAAAAGAAAAAAAAAGACATAAGAGTGTGTGCAAGTACTTTGATTTCCCTTCTCTTTTCATTGGTTAAATTACAAATTTATCCCGTGAGATTTGCTCAATATACAAATTGTTCCTCGTGGTTTTAAAAATTATAAATATTCTATTATCAGAATTTTTTATTTAACAAAAAAACAAAATTCTAAATTACACTCCTACACAATAATAAAACTATCATAATTGTTAATTGAAATGTATTTTCTGATATCATTAAAATTATTAATTGACTTAATAATTTATTAATAAAAAGAGTCATTTGTTATGTGATTATAAATTTGAAATGACAGAATGTAATTTTTAGAACACATAAAGCAATCCATATTTTAAATAAAATTCAAGAAATGTGTTTGTGATTTATCCCTTTTCGTCTTCCTTTTTATCAATGAATTTGGAAGCTTAACACTGTAACATTTCAAGAGTTAAATAAAAAGGGCATAAACCTGTTTAATGTAATGAGCAATGGATTGACAGTCAGAGACTTCATGAAGATCAAGAGCCTGGTATGCCAACTCCATCACATGGCTCTGCATTGCCTCTTCCATGTCTGTCTCTCTCACCACTGCTTTTCCTTCTAACATCTCCCTCTCTCTCTCTCTCTCTCTCTCCAATATTTATCTAATCTCACTTCATGCACTACTTGATGCATACAGAGACTACCAATCACCCTATATAGATATAGTGCAGGGCACAAAGGAAATTGCATAGTAAAAAGAAAAAAAAAATCCAGAATTTAGTGGTTGATATTGAAGGCTGAATCAAGATATTTTTCATTTGTGGGTTTTGGATGTTTTGTTTTGTTTTGTTTTTTTTTCTTTTTCTTGTGTAGAGATGATTGAAGTTTTGGATCCATTAGGGACAGTTGACATCAAAAATAGTTGGACCCAAAAAATAAAAAAAAATCTCTCATGGAGATGTGCTTACTGTGTATTTGGTATTATCTGCTATGATCTAATCTATTAATTGATCTCACATATTTGTCTTTTGAGCTCTAATCCAAAATATGCCTTTACACTAGATGGAAAATTATTCATTATTCTTGAAGTATCATGTGCCCATATTTCTTAACCAATCATTATTCAATATGTCTCCTCATGTTCTCCAATTACCCAACATAATACCTCACCTATTCACCTTTTCCACCAATCATAATGTTATAGAATACCACGTGTTCATACTCTGAGATTATTGAATAATTACCCACAATGGAGGGTCCTACATGACATTTAGAAGTTGATTTTGGATATCTTTCATAACCAAGATATCCCACCTCGACGCAGGCATGACCTTGACTCCAGAATAAACTCAGAAACTTTATTTAAGGAGGACCAAGATAAATGTTGCAAAAAATAAAATAATTCTTAAGTTGGCTTTTAAAAATGATAATTTTTTAAATAAGTGTCATGGAAAAAATTTCCAAAAAAAAAAAAAAATCATAAACTTTTATAAATAATTTCTTAATATTTATCTCAATTATTTAATACAAGTTTGAGCTATATGATTAGGATCTTAGTGTATAATTTATTATATTTCATTTGAGACATATTAGTTGAAATAAATTGTATCAATTTGCAAAATTTACTTCCACAAATTTAATAATTGAAAAAAATAACACGTCTTTACATATCAAGTCACTATATTGATCCTATTAGGCAGTATGTAAAACCGTTAAAAACATGGGCAAATTACATATACACCCCTCGAGGTTTGGTAAAATTACAGATACCCCCCTGAGGTTTCGGAAATTACATCCCGCCCCCTGAGGTTTGTATTTTCATAACAATTTACCCCCTGAGGTTTATATTTCATAACAAATTACCCCCTAATTTCTTATGTAAATATAGCATTCAGGGGGGAATTTGTAATTTCTCAAACCTCAGGGGGGTATTTGTAATTTAGCCAAACCTCGAGGGGTGTATATGTAATTTGCCCTAAAAACATCATGTCACAAATATTATAGAAATACGTCTGGAATAAATATTTGTAGAAAATTTAAGAGGGGTCAATCTATATATATATATATATTAGGGGTTGTTTGAGATATCTTAAATAAGTGTATTTTTTGTCTTTTTGAACTAAAAAATGGAGGAAAAAAATATGGATGTTTGGTTAACTTTTTGTGAAAAAATATGTATTAAAAAATTGTATAAATTAGTGTGTATATAGGGAAAAATTAGGATTAAGAGTTGTACAGTCGTAATTTTTGACTTTTGATGAATAGGAATAATTTTTTAACTTTTTAAGTAATTTTTTAACTTTTTGATAACTTGTCAAACTTGACCTTATACACATCCATAGATTATAGGGGCAATAGGAAAACTTTAGTATACTATGCTTGATGCGTGACCTAGTCTCGAGGGACGGAGTCTGAAATTTTATTTAGGTGAGGCCAAGGTCAAATTATCAAAAACCAAATTAAGTTAGCTTCTCATAGGCCATGAAAGTGTATCAAAAAAAATTAAGTTCACTTATGGTGCATTACACTAAAATATTTTTTTTACACATTATGAAAAAAGTAACCAGTAAAAAGGACCAAAGAAACCTATATTAGTCACCTGTTAATATTTTTTTCAAAATTTTATATTAATTTTAAGCTATATAATTAAAATTTGATTAGGCCTTCATTTAAGGAAATTTTATTGAATGATATAATGTACATTAATAATCTACTTTACAAGTTGTATAAAATAAAATTAATAGTGTAGACTCTATTGTGTAATAATGTGAAATAATTAAAGGCTATCACATATACATGTAGACATGCTTATAAAATAGTCAACGCAAGAATTATTCAAATTTGAGACACTATTAAAGTAAACTTGACAAGAGATGGGAGGCGCCATGGCCACCTTGCCCATTGAATGGCTCCGTCCCTGCTAGTCTCATCTGAAAGTTTTGTCCGCTGTGGTGGTGGATAATTAGTAGTAGTGGTGGTGATGATGATAATAATAATTGTGGTAAAGGCGTGAATAATGACAATGATAACAGTGAAAGTGAAATAGTAGTGATGACAACCGGAGACGTAATAATAGTGATGACAACAATGATAAGATTATAATAATGACACAAATTATGATTATCAAACAAATTTAATTAATTTGAATTGAATTATCAAATACTATTTATATCTCCCTATTATTGGAAGAGCACATTTCACTAGCTATTGGTCAAACTTACCAGATATTTTCTCATGAATTAACAAATGGTAGGCTATGATTGGCAACTACAGTAATCTCTGAGTTTGTTATAATCTCTGGCACTGCTAGTTTTTTTGGAGGAGAAGGATTTGCCATTTCAACTTGGGACTCCATTTTGGAATTGGGTTTAGAGATTCAAATCGTTTATTTTTTAAAATTTATTGAATAAAATGTCTATATAAAAATATAAGATAATTAAATGTCAATAATTATATGTTCGAATCACATTATATTATAAAAAATAGATGATTATTTTTTAAATTATACTTATCATTCATTTTTTAAAAAATAAATATGATTCAAACGTATAACTATTAATATTCAATAATCTTATTTTATGTATAAATATTTTACTCAACAAATCTTAAAATGTAAACGGTTCGGATCATTAAAATTGATTTCCAAATAAGCCTACTAAGTTCAAACGCTCAACTTTCTTTAAGCCGTTAAAAATATTATTTTTGAATTTATTATTAATGACTACATGTCAGTTATTGATTTATTTAAGAATTAATTAACTAAAATTAACTCTCTATCATGTAATATAAATAAATTTAGAAATAATATTTGACGGAGTCTGACATTAATCTTAATTTCTTTTTTAAGAATTAATTAATTAATTAATTAAAACTCAACTCTCTTAAATAAATTTAAAAATAATGTTTTAAAAGAATTTAACATCACTCTTAATTTAGTTTTTGTTTTTTTCCTCTTTGTTTGGAACTTGGAAGTGGTCCATGGCTTGAAAGGTATGAGCCAAGTGCTTTGGACGAGGATTGCTCAAAATTTTATAAACATGTGGTTGGAAAGATTTGCAAGTATAATTGTAATGAAAATTTCTATTATAATGCATACAGTTGAAACGTGTCATTAATTATTTTTTTTTTGATTGAAAATTTTAAAATTAAGCCTATAATTATCGTGTTATTTTAAAAAATATAATTTTTTAATTTAAAATAAAGATATATTAAATTGGCTCTTACATAACAATTGATGGTATAATGAAAATCTTCATTACATGGATGATCCAAGTATAATTTTATGTGGTGATAATATAATCAGATTCTGAAAAATCTACTTATATGAGCAGTGAAGAGAGAGCGCCGCAAAATTATGAGTTCACACTTTTTTAGGATTGTAAACAAGCCAAATTGAATCAAATAGTAAGTCGTTTCAGTTTGACATGATAAATAAATAAATAAATTAATTAAAATGCATTCAGACTTCTCCTATATACCTTTCAAGTTGATCTTAAACTAATTTCAATGGAGCTAAGCTGTTTTAAAAGAATTTAACATCACTCTTAATTTAGTTTTTGTTTTTTTCCTCTTTGTTTGGAACTTGGAAGTGGTCCATGGCTTGAAAGGTATGAGCCAAGTGCTTTGGACGAGGATTGCTCAAAATTTTATAAACATGTGGTTGGAAAGATTTGCAAGTATAATTGTAATGAAAATTTCTATTATAATGCATACAGTTGAAACGTGTTATTAATTATTTTTTTTTTGATTGAAAATTTTAAAATTAAGCCTATAATTATCGTGTTATTTTAAAAAATATATTTTTTTAATTTAAAATAAAGATATATTAAATTGGCTCTTACATAACAATTGATGGTATAATGAAAATCTTCATTACATGGATGATCCAAATACAATTTAATATAATCAGATTCTGAAAAATCTACTTATATGAGCAGCGAAGAGAGAGCGCCGCAAAATTATGAGTTCACACTTCTTTAGGATTGTAAACAAGTCAAATTGAATCAAATAGTAAGTCGTTTCAGTTTGACATGATAAAAAAAAAAAAAATTAATTAAAATGCGTTTAGACTTCTCCTATATACCTTTCAAGTTAATCTTAAACTAATTTCAATGGTGCTAAGCTCAAGTGATTTGTTTTTTTATAACACATATAATCAAGTTGAGATAAGTATATGTTGTTCAAATTTAATCGGGACATTTGAGCAAGTGATTGTGTACACTCTTTGAGGTATGAGGTTTTGGATTCTCCTATAGAGAGGAGTTTGATAGTAATCTATTTAATGATCTTGACTTTTTAATTTAACAAATTTTAAAAAATATTTCAATTTAACTTATTTATCCAACAAATCAATAATAAATGAATTTTTATCGAGTGAAATTTAAATAATTTAATTCGTTTTATAGTGTTATGATGAGTTAGATAAAGATATTTAACACAACCAATCGGATTGAGACCAGTCACAATTGAGCGAACCTGACTAATGATATTTAATAGGTCCACATTTATTGGTCTTTCTTCTATCAACAACCTTGTGAGCCGCTCGAACTGGGCCATCTTCAACTTAGGATTTGGATGTCGCTCTGTTTTATCATTTTTCTGTCAACAAAAAGTGAAAGTTTATCTCAGGTTGGTTCTGCAGATTTGATTGAATGAGATTATGGATGCAGTGAGATTGAATAAAAAGTTAGTAATATGATAATATTAAGTTAGAGATATAAGATAAAGCGTATTTATTTGTATAGTAATGCAGTGGTATTAATTGATTGAGATTAAACCTATAAAATTTCATATTTAACCTTCTGCCATTATTACAGTCACATGGGCCCGTTTGTTTTCAAATATTAGTAAGGAGACTGTTAATAAGGGAATTGATAGTGAGGAGATTAAGAAAATTTGTATTTGTTTGATAACCAGTGGACTAGCAATAATTCATATTTGTTTTGAGAGATAGAAGTGAGATTACCTAAAAAATTCCACAAATACCCTTGTCCCATTTCTATCAAATTTGGGAATTCATAGTGGATTATGAAAATTTGTATTTATTTGTGATATATTTTAATATTAAAATTATTTTTATTAAACATAATTATGAAATAATGAGAGAATAAAAAAAATAAAATAAAAAATCAACCCATGGTTTTCCCAAACCAATCCATGGTTTTAAAATAGTGTATTGCTTTGCCTTCATCCATCCATCAACCCATTATTCAATTAAATGTTGCCTTGCCTTTATTCATCCATTAGCAAAGCTTCCTTCATCTATCAACAGAGCTTTCTTCAAGACACACGCCACAATCATCACCATCAACGATGATGCCGACACCGATGCTGATCATCACCGTCAAATTTCAAGTCTTGCGAAGCTTCATCCATCATCCATCAGCAGAGCTTCCTTCTTGCAAATTTCAATTTCAAAAACTATGAAATACCGTTGATGTGGCTAAATCTTGTTGTGGGCAAAATTGTCTTTCACACTGTAATACCAACGGCTTCATCTCTAATACCTAATCTCATGGGCCTATGCTAATCCGCTCGTTGGAGGGGATTCAGAGTCTGTTGGGACTGACTCTGTTGGCCAAAAAGGAAAACAAACATGAGCTTAGTGAAGAGGAGCTCACTGTTAGTCCAGACCGAAGGTGGAACTCAGAAAACAAACAGACCCTATAGGCTACGGGATAAAATAGTCTTTTTACGCCTTAATTCCACGAGATTGCATCTCAATTCCATGTGTTTCCAAACTTTGATAATCCCTTCATAGTGTACGATTACTATTCCAAAAGGAATACCTATCCCCCTACATTTCCTAACCAACCATGGTATAAATGGGCTCACCTCACTCACACTTCAATCCATCTTTCTAAACCTTCAATCAAACATGACCTCACTTAATAGTTCCTACCTAATTTTTTAAGATATTCTATTTCTTTGAATCTCACCACTAAAATTGTTCCCGGCCTTTTTTTTTTATTTTATTTTTTGCTTCTATCATAATCTAAAAAATACCTCTTTCTTTGGATCACTATCCTTGTCATAAGCTTTCCTTTAGCAACGTCTTCTCCTCCCATCCCCACACCTGGCGATCATTATTTCTGACAGCCCTCTCTATCCCTCTCCTATTACCTCACCACACCCTCCACACCTCTATCGACGCTCCACTACCATTGCTCGCTCTTGTAACCCCTCTTCACCACCTCCTTTGCACCTATGGTAGCATTAATATCTTCACAAAGATTGACAAAAGTTTTGGCCTTTTTATTCTTTATTTTATATGATAATGCATTTCTTTTATGTAATTATAAACCACACTCTAATTAGTGAAAACTTTGTGTTTAAAAAATAATATATATATTATTCTTCGTTTGATTTTCACCGAACTTTAATTTTACTAGCATTTAAAATGAGACTATCTTTTTTTTTTTTTTTGGTACAACAGAAATAAAACAGAAACTAGGCTCTTTCACTAGAGAGCCCAACTATATCAACTACCAAGTAGCTCCTAATTTCAAATGGTGGTTCCTTAACCACCAACATCTCTTCAGGTTGGGCAACTCCCAGCTTAGCTAAAGCATCTGCACACAAGTTCCCTTCCTTGAACACATGTTGGATGGTGCATTCACATCCCTTGAAGATGATCTTGGCATCCTCCAACAATCCTTTGAATGGGAATTTGTCGGGTGTATCTTCTCCTATCAGTTGCACCACTTGCTGAGCATCAAATTCAATGATCACTCCATGCATTCCTTGTTGCAACAACACTGTCAAGCCTTTGTAAAGAGCCCACAACTCTGTCTCCAGGCTTGTGCCACTATCCATCTTGCCATAATATCCACATATCCAGTTGCCTCTTTTATCTCTAAAGACTCTTCCAAAGCCTCCTCCAACTCCCACAGTTTTGCTACTATCAATATTCAGCTTTTTATCTCTAAAGACTCTTCCAAAGCCTCCTCCAACTCCCACAATTCTGCTACCATCAATGTTTAGCTTAATTTTCCTTGCAGGTGGAAGAACCTAATTAATCAATCTAAGTACAGGCCTTGGATGAGTAATAGAAACATTAAAAGCCAAGTCTATACCTTTAGAGTAATCAAAAATAAATTTGGTGCTCTCTTGAGGAAGAGGTGAAACATCATCAAATATGACTGAATTCCTATTTTTCCAGATTCTCCAAGGAGTCACAATGAACACAGTAGACCAAGTGGCATGAGTATTAAACAGATGTTTATTTTTGGAGTTTGAAAAAAGCCAGTCTTGCCAATTCAGGCTAATCATCCTCAGGTGCCACTGTCTACCACACAAAGCCAGCCACATCTCTTTGGCTTTATAGCAACCTCTGAACATATGTTGTAGGTCCTCTAACCCATAACAGCTAGAGCAAGTTGGGTGAGACCCTTTTTCATTCTTAGATGGTTTGTAAGTAGCTTTCCTTGCAAGACCAACCACATAAAACATTTAAGTTTTTGAGGTAGTCTCAATTTCCAAAGCCAGCTCCAACTTCCCTCACACCTTGGAGTACCTATGATTAACTCATAGGCTGAGGCCACAAGAAATTCATCACACTGAGTACCTTTCCAATTGGGACTATCAGGGTTATTTTTAGAAGGAGGTGAAGTATTCAAAATGATGGAGGTAATATTAGGAGGGAACAATAAAGAAAGTCTGACCACATTCCATTCACCATGATCAGTAACAAACTCAGCCACAGAGCTAGAGTCCTCAGTAGTAGTATGGTTGGATTAATGTGTGTTGGGCATTACATCCGCAAAGGATTGATCCCCACACCACCAATCCTTCCAAATATTTACCAAAGCACCATTGCCCAATTTTCACTTCACCCATTTTCTAAGGGTATGCCTAGTTTGGAGAATGTTTCTCCACACAAAGGAGGCACACTTCCCTTTAGGCCAAGTTAAGAATTGAAAATTCCTCAAATACTTGCACCTGAGAATAGTGCACCACAAACTATCTTCTTTATTCAAAAGTTTCCAACCCAGCTTAGTCAGAAGAGCCAGGTTTTGATCCCTGGCTTTTTTGATACCAAGTCCACCAGCATTTTTTGACCGGCAAACTTTATCCCACTTAACCAAGTGAATTTTCTTTCTCTCAGGGGTATCCCCCCCACAAAAAATTTCTATTAAGCTTATCAATCTCATCACACACTTTCTTAGGCAAAGCATTAGTTTGCATAGTATAAACAGGGATGACAGAGCTCACAGCTTGAATAAGAGTAGTTCTGGTAGCCAGAGAGACAACTTTAGTTTTCTACCCAGCAAAACTCTTTTGCATTCTTTCAAGAATATGGTTAAAATGCCCTCTTGTGACTCTCCCATACATAAGAGGGACCCCCAGATACTTCCTTAAGTCAGAAGTTAGGGGGATACCACACTTAGCACTCAAGTCCCTATCCATCCTCCTATCAACATTGGAGGACACAAACACCTTAGATTTTGGGGCATTGATCTTAAGTCCAGAAATATCACAAAATTCTTCCAAAATGATCTTAATGGTATTACAAGTTCTCATATCAGCTTTTCGAAACAACATTAAATCATCTGCAAAAAATAGATGGGTTAGGCATGGACCCCCTCTAGAGGTTTGGATGCCTTTCCATTTATTTTTTGCAGCTTTCATACTGATCATGTTGGAAAGTCTTTCCATGCACAAAACAAACAGGTAGGGAGATAGAGGATCTCCCTGCCTTAGCCCCTTTTCAGGTTTCAATTCCTCCAAAGGCTCCCTATTCCAAAGGATAGCAGTGCTCACAGTGGTCACGCAACACATAATCATGTCAATAAGATTCTTATCAAACCCAAATTCATTGAGAGTTTGTTCAAAGAAGGCCCTAGAGATGTTATCATAAGCCTTTTTCAAATCAATTTTGAGAATCATACCTTCCACTTTCCCTTTCCCTTTCTTAGAGTTTAGAGTATGAATAATTTCCTAAGAAATAATAATATTATCATTAGTAGATCGACCAGGAACAAAGCGACTTTGGTTAGGCCTCACAAGATGGCACAAAAAGAGATGGATTTTGCTAACTAAAATTTTGGCTATGATTTTATAAGTAACATTGCACAGACTGATTGGTCTAAATTGCTTAATAGTCTCAAGGTTGTCCAGTTTTGGGATTAGAGTAACCAGGGTTCTATTGATGGCAGAGGGAATGGTGTAGTTAACAAAACACTTCTTATTAAACTCACACACAGCAGGCCCAATCACCTTCCAATAAGTATGATAAAAAATGGCCTGAAAGCCATCTCGACCTGGGGCTTTGAAAGCCTTGATATTCTTAACGGCCTTCCAAACCTCCTCATCAGTCACATTGATCATAAGCTCACTGTAATCTTCATTACTAAGGATGTGACTGGCCAAGTTGTTCCAGTGACTCAAAGTGTGGTTAGATCGCAGAGAGAATAGGTTAATAAAGTAATTAGCCACCATCAGTTTCAAATCAGCAAATCTTTCAACCCAAACACCATCCTCCCCTCTTAACATATCAATCTTTTTTTTCCTCCTTTCAGTTAAGGGGAGGAGGTGAAAGAATTTGGTGTTTCTATCATCTTGAGTGATCCACTTGGATCTAGACTTCTGAAACCAGAAAAGTTCCTCTTGGTAGAGGACTCTATTATACTGATCAACAAGATCCATTTCCAACACATGGAGGTTATGGGAATAGATGGTTGCTTGGGATTTTTGAATGTCTTTAATTCTCCCAAGCAGCCATCTTTTCCTGCGAAAGATATTGCCAAAAACCTCTTTATTCCACAAACTAGCCTTGTGAGCTAGATTATCAAGATTGGCCAATAAAGAGTCATGATTTTTCATCCAATTATCCTCCACCACTGCTTGAAACTCTTCATGAGAGATCCACGCAGCCCCAAACTTAAAAAGCTTACAAGAAGGATTAAAAAGGAACTTACCTAAGGTAAAAACCATCAGTGGGGAATGGTTCGAGTAGGTACGTGGGAGATTACGAACCAGTCCCTCAGGAAAGCTAGTTTGCCATTCACTGTTACACATAGCTCGGTCTAGCCTTACCATTGTGTTGGTCCAGCCTTTTCGGTTGTTAGTCCAAGTCAACTTCGGTCCAGAACATCCCAGGTCCATAATACTGCATCGATTCATCCTATCAGCAAAAGTTTTAGTTCTTCTACGATCTTGACTACTATGAGGGTTGCCTGCCAGGCTTCGCTTTTCCTCTTGACTAGCAAAATCATTGAAGTCACCAGCTACCATCCACGGTTCAGAGGTGCTCTGAGCAATGCTCTCCAATCTTTCCCACAGTTCCTTTCTCTTGCTGCTTACCGGACTGGCATAGACAGCTGAAAGAAGCCATTCAGGGTACTCTTGTGTAACAATTTTAGTTGTTATGAGTTGCGAACTGGCCTTAGTGACCCGTACAAAAATAGAGTTTAGGTTCCAGAGCATCAATATACCACCACTTCGGCCTATAGGGTCAACATGTGCTGAAGTTATGAATCCCATTTGGTTAAAGAACATCCCCATTGAAGCTAATTCAACTTTAGTTTCCATAAGAACCAGTAGATCTGGTTTATGAATCTGTACTAACTCACACAAATTCCTTTTAAATTTCTTATTTCCAGCACCCATATAATTCCAGATGAGCAAATCCATGTGAGTATTGGTGAAGTTAGGTAACGGGTCTTGGTCATCAATCCCCAGATACCCCTTTGCTCTTTTGAGGTTGTCCTCTATCTATTGAGTTGCCATTACGAATATCATATGCCTCTCCTGACCCACTTCTATCTGTCTCCATGGTTGGATCTTCAATTTTATTTCCTCGATCCACCTGTCTGAGGCGATGCGGTGAAACGCTTCTTTCTCTGGAGTGAGGTATACTGTGACTGTGTTCTGATGCACTACGTGATGCTCCATTGTGTAGTTCTCACATTTTGCTTCCATTTTTGTCCGAGGCACTCTGGTTTTGGTCTGTAAAGAAGGGAGAGTAGCAGTGGTGGTGGGTGTGGAGGTGACTGTGGTTGTGGTTGTGGACGATATGGACATTGGTATATGAATCATACCAGTACTATCAGAATTTTGATGGCATGTTTGGAGGGTCTGAAGCTTTGGCTTTCCCAGGCTGATTTCTACACCGTCTTTATCCTTAGCCTTTACAGCTGGTCCACTTTGTTTATCTCTCCTCTCATTTGGGCTTACATGGGCCTTATACTTAAATCCTTTTTCTTGTTTACTTCTACTTGTTTGGCCCTGCTCTCTAATTCTTTGGGGTTGGGCTTCAGATTCTTGGTTCTCTCATAGTAATTCAAATCGATTACCCGATTGGGCTTTGTTCCCTCTGGTAGACACTTGGCCCTTGGGCTTCCTTTTATGGTTCGTAACTTGCATCCAGGGCCCATATGTAGTCTTGCCTGCTCTAGTATTTGTCAATAATGGCTCTGTATTTGGGCTATGACTTGTTTGGCCCACCTGTATCACTGTAGCTTCCTCACTGTGGTTCTAAGACTGTTCCTCCATCGGCGGCGGCTGCGGGTGATCACTACAGATCTCTTTCTGATGACCTACCTTGCCACTATAAAAACAAAGTGAATGAAGATGTTCATATTCAACTCCATAGGTATACTTACTGATGGTGAAGTGTGAAATCAGTGGTTGCCGCAGATCAATTTCAACACACACTCGAGTATACTTCCCTCGAGCTGCCATGGCTGTGTTGATGTCAACCTTTAGTGGGTTTCCCAGAGACTTAGCTGTGTGGTATAATACTTTTTCATTGTAGTATTCTATGGGTAGATTGGGGAATCGAACCCAAATCGTTGTTGTGTCCTCCTCAGCATCATCAGATTTAAAATCTTGTTGCCATTTTCTCACAGTAACATAATGGTCCATTACAATCCACGGGCCACTAGTGTAAACCTTTGTGTAATCATCCATCATGTCAAATTTCACAATGAAAAACCCATTCCCAATGTCCAGAGCTTCAAAATCTGCTTGGAGGCTCCAAATTTTTGTCATTTTTGCCATGAATAGTTTGTATCCTATGGTTTTCCCAAGTAGCCTCACAATCAAACACTTCTTCCACGGTTCCCTGATCTTCTTTAGAAGTGCCGCAGGGAGTCTGATATTGGGGATTCCTCCATTTATTTCACTACCATCCTGTAAACCTTTAGTCATTGTTATGTCTGTGGTGTTGTCCTCGTCATTAGAAGAGATATCTTCCACATCACAATCGAAATTCTTTTCATAACCCACCTCATTAAACCTAGATCTGAGTAGAGCTTGTTTAAAAGATCGGTTCCCGTTGCTCGTAACAGTCATATCCAAACAGTCTGTGCTGACCTTTGCCTTACGGATCTGATTGTTCTCCTCCAGATCTTCTTCAACATAGTCTGGGTCAGCTTCTGTGTCTCAGTCCTGTGCTTGCGGATGTGATTTAGTCATTGGATAATCCCCTAGATCCAAGGTACTCTTGATTTTCTTTGTGCTTCGGATCAAGTGGTTTTTTTCCTTCGACGAACAACCATTCTCCGAACGTAATTCGCTGGAATGTGAGAGCTCAGTAACGGTAATATTTCAAGTGGTTTACTTTTCAAAACTCAATTCTGTTTGTGATCATCAAATTGTCAACTGTGTAATTGTCACGCCCCAAACTCGCCCCTAAAAGTTTGGGCATGACCCACTCAAAAACGGACACTTAACCTGGTATACATACATATGGGGCCTGAACGGAAGCATTAAGTATAATAAGATAACATGAAATAAAAAGAACTATATCCATTGAGCGACTACTATCATGCCAGGATCACCAACAGTGCATCAAATGATAAATACTTACATACACATATACAAACCTTGCCCCTTGTTGGGCGTATAACAAAAACATTAAAAACTTAACATATAATAGACAATCAGAGTGCAAGCTAAAACTTAGCAAAATTCCAAAGAAATGATTAGGCTTCACCCAAATGTCTGGACACACAAAGATTGGTGAAAGGTAGGCGAGCATCGAGGGTTAAGGCTGACCTCCAGACTTGCTACCTACAGAAACAAATAACCTGCAGAGTGAGACAATCTCAGTGAATAATAGTACTTAAACAATTCAATACTTAACTTGAATTATGATACGTATCAATGCTTATATAAATAAAGAGAGCATATGATTAATTTGATTCTGTCTTAAGTCCAGAATGGTCTTGTCGGTTCACAATTTCATAGATGTCCAATGGTTCACACATTGGCCCTCGGCCTAACAGATTCTTAACTTCACAAATTGGCCCTCGGCCTCATAGGTTCACAACTTCACAAATATTCATAATTTCACAAATTGGCCCTTAAACAGAATGGCATATAGCCCTTTTCATGTACGTATGAACTCAAGAGGTGGCTCGTACGGATTCTAGAGGTGGCTCCCACCAAGTGTAGCACTTAGCTCCGTACAACACTTTGTTCCATACTAACAGATCAGACAGAACGGCCATAGGCCTCATAACTTTCACAGAATGGCCATAGGCCTCATAACTTTCACAGAACGGCCATAGGCCTCATAACTTTTACAGAATGGCCATAGGCCTCATAACTTTCACAGAACAGCCATAGGCCTCATAACTTTTACATCGGCTTTAAGCCCAGTTTACATATGTATGGACTCAAGAGGTGGCTCGTACGGATTCTAGAGGTGGCTCCCACCAAAGTGTAGCACTTACGAGGAAAAGAGCGTTAGTGACAATAATTATCAATGGTAGATAAAGTGTACATTTCCGTACTATTACTCACAGTGTTGAGATGACGTGTTACTTCCTCCCGGAGTGTGTCCTGCACACACGCAAAACTTGCACATTAGTTCCCTTTTCTTTGTTAAATCATTTCCTGAATCTTTACACTTTGCATGAATTTACAACCATCTTAAGTTCATCAGAAAAATATTTTAAAAATACCAAAGGGTTGAGCATGCAAAATGGAGCGAACCATTTTTCTAGCCCGGGCCGCACGTGCGGCCGGACCCTCCGCTCGTGTAGACATGTACCGCACGTGCGGTCCCTCTCACCGCTCGAGCGGCCAAAAACAGTATGCATTTCCAGTTTTTCCTTCTTTGTCCGCACGTGCGGCCATGACCTCCGCACGTACGGTGGTGACCCCTGTTTTGGGGCAGCTCGGTTCCAATCCAAATTTCAACATCACCAAATCATTTTACATGCAATCTAAGATGAAATTAATGCAATTCATTAACCTAACACCACCATAGCATGTATTGGAACTTGAGCATCACAAACTACACATGTTTAGAAGCTTCCTCAAGTCATAACCTTGCCAAATTCCATCTTTTAATCTAAGTTTTTTACATCCATAAAACATAACACAATTCATAAATATAAATTCATGGGGTTGGCATAACAACCAAAACTTGAAGTATAAATTTCTTACAACACCTAAATTAGTTTCAACACAACTAATTGATGAGAAACCCCTTTGTAATCGAACATGAATCACACCCACTTCTCAATTACGAACCATAAATGTATAAATATGAACCTAATAAACCCTTCCTCACAAATAGAAAGGGGAATTTTCACACATGATCAAGAGAGAGCTTGTCTAGAGTAGATTTAACATACCTTGAGTTCAAATTCTACAACCCTCACAAGGTTTCTTAACTTTCTTCTTGTGGAACTTCCTTCCAAGCCCTATTCTTCCCTAATTCCTCTCTCTCGCGAATTTGTCTTGAAATGAGTCTAAGTCAATATGCAAGAAACATGAACACTTATATAAAATGTGAATAAGGACAAAATTTTACTCGTTTAATCATTCCAAAATTGAAATTTCGTAAACATGCTTAATATTACTTAAAAATTATGCTGATCACATATATAAAATCAATTTCAGATAATTAAGCTGTTAAGGCCTCCAATTTCTGATTCAAATGTGTCAATAGTGACAGATAATGTTCTTGTGAAACAGATAGACATCCTAAAACATTGAGTTCGTTTAAGGCCTAGTTTGGAAAGACTAAATAAGTGCACTTTTTGACTTTTTTTGTATTATGTGTAGAAAAAGTAGAGAGGAGATGTTGATTGATGTGACCCAAAAAAGATAAAAAGATGAAATAAGTGCACTTTTTTATTTGTAGTCAAACTTGGCCTTAATCTTAATTTCTCGTCAGATTTCATAGCAAGCATTTAAAAGCACAAAATAAGGACGGAACATATATCAGAAAACATATGCGAGGGTCGGGTTATTACAGTAATGGTCATACATCATGTTCCAAATATGAAAGTCTTTAGCATTATTTGAAAATCAATTTTATATCTTATCAATATACATTTATGTTTATTTTTGTTATTATTTTAGAATTATTTACTTCTTTCTATTATCAAAAAGAGAGAGAGAGAGAAAACCACATATGATTCTAGGTAAATTTTGTCCCCAATATACAAAATTTTTGGATCAGGAACACTTTTATATATTTCTATATATTTATTTATACATTCAATACAATTTTATGCATATCCGCCAAGTATAATGACAGCCTTATGGGCGGTCACAAAGTATTTTTCATAAATAAAAACTTCCTTTGCATTAAAAACAAAAAAATAAATAAATAAAAAACAAAGCATGGAATAATAAGGAGGTGGGGAAGACTAATATTGAAAATTTTGAAACTAATTCAAGTATGAAAGGTGTGTTTAAACCCATTTAAAGGAGATCTACAAATTAAGATTCAGTACTCAAATGTAATCACAATATTTAAAATCATAATGTATCCTTAATCTAATCACAAAAAAATAAGCACAACAAAAATTGAATGAAAGTGCAAGAGTAAATTACACTAATTCCATCAAAGAATGAAAAAAAATACTCCTTCTATCCTAAAATAATGGTTCATTTTGGGAAATCTAACTTTTTTTTGATAGTACAATTATTACACTTTAAAAAAGTTGATTTTTCAAAATTACACTTTTGATAGTATATTTTTTGGAAATACCAATGTCATAATTGTACTTTTTATATTATTTATTAATTTAAAAGAAGGGTAAAATAAGAAATTTATATTATTTTTGTACTTGATTTTTAAAGAGGGACTAATATTTTGGGATAATGAAAAATAGAATAAAGGACTAATATTTTGGGACGGAGGGAGTAATGAATTATGCTATATGTACCAATTTGTATACTAACTAGTGTACCAATTGATGATATGACATAATTTAAGAGGTTTTGATATTTATAATGTGATTAATGAGTGGAATTAATAATAATGTTATAACTAGTGTTGGTACACTACTTAGTACACTAATTGGTGCATGTAGCACTACCGAAATATAATAGTATCATAATTTTAATATTTTTATGTTAATTCCTCTCAAAATTTTTACTTACATTACACATTCAACCATGCCGTTAAATTACCACTTAAAAAGTGATATTTTTACTAATGTAATCATATAATTTACTGCTACCATTCCAATTGAATCTACTCCTATATTTATTTATAGTTATATCCAAACACTCTTAAACTAGTCTCAAATATGTTCATCTCTATGTCCAAACAAGCTCTCCTAGCCACCAATCACATTCCACTTTCACCACACATCGACCAAATCCATTGTCCGTCTCCACTTTCATCTGCATGCCCACCATCAATCTCCATCTCTATCTACACTTACATTACCATTACTATCACTACACCGTCAACCTCTATCAGGCTCCACCCTCAGATTTTCGGGACCCCCGACCTTAGATTTTCGGAACCAAAAATTGATAATTAACTATTAAATTTTTGGGACTCTTCACATTTTTATTTCATTGAATGAAAAAAAAAAAAATTAAAGTAGAGGACAAAAGATTTAATTATGTGATGCGAACAAAACACAACACAAAACTTTTAAATTATGTAATGTGAACTATTAAACTTAAATAAATTTTTCTTGATGATGTAAATATTAATATTATAATAGTAATTAATTGAGCAAAAAATAAGACAAATATTTAATTAATTGAATAGAAAAAAAAAAATTACCTGTGCTTGCTCCCCTCCATGTGCTCTGCTCTATTTGTATGCTGCTACTTCATTGCTTTGTTGGCTTGGGTTGCTGGTGTGCTGTCAAACAAACTGCAGGAAAAATTGGATTAAGAGAAGGTAGAGTTAGAGATTAGAAAAAAAAGGAGCCTTACAAACTACTATTGGGCCTTAACTATTGGCCCTTAACTGTTAGAAATTAAGAATTGGATTAACTGTTGGGCCTTTTAAACTACTACTTTGTTGGGCTGCTGCTGTCAAACTTTTAGGTCATTCAATTTTTTAATAGGTCAATTTATTTTAAGTTAGTTTGGGCCTTTTAATTTTTTTTAGACTTTAAACATACTTAATATATTATATTAAATTATAATAGGAGGAGACCTCTTTTTGAAATCTATTTTTGAGGGGCCATAAGCCATGGCCTTGTGGACCTATGGCCAGGATTGGGCCTGACCTCTATAATCTTTCTTTTTTAAAAAGAAAAAAAAAAAACATACATACACACACAACAAGACCTCCCTAAAAATTAAAAATTGAAGCCATAAATTATGGGGAAAAAAATCCAAAATCTCATCTCAAAATTAACAGAGAAACAATAGATCAAGGAAAGAGGTGGACATTTTCCAATGACAAACGGTTGGGAGTGGCGATAATTCGCACAATATTTCCATCTTTTCCCCCTAATGAGGGCCAAAGCCCAAAATAAGAAGATTAACAAGTAGACACTAAACGAAGCCAACTCCCTCAATATCTCTAGTTTCTCTCCCCTTCAAAGAAAAAAAAAAATTCTCAATATTTTTATAAATTTGCAATAAGAAGATCTTAGTCTTTAATAACCATATTCTTTTGATTACGTCAATAAACACTCTATAAAATAAGTATACAAAATTACAAAAAAACCAATAGCGAAAGCTCCCTTCCCCAACAAATTTAAGCTATGTTTGGCATGTAGATTTGGATTGGATTGTGATTATTTTAGTCACAAAAAGATAAAATATACTTTTTAATTTAATAAGACAAAATGTCACATCAAATTATAATCATTTTATTTTTTCTCTTACAAAAATAAAAAAATTAAAAAGTCTATTTCAAACGAAATCTTTTAGTCTTAAATTAAAATAGTCAAAAAATCAATTCACATTCCAAACGAAGGCTTATTCAAAATATCAAATGAAAGAATATTCATGAAGATAAACAAACATATGATATAAGTTTAAAAATTTAAATTATGTAATGTGAACTATTAAACTTAAACAAATTTTTCTTGATGATGTAAATACTAATATTATAATAACAATTAATTGAACAAAAGACAAGACAAATATTTTAATTAATTGAATAGAAAAAAAATTACCTGTGCTTGCTGCTGCTCTCCTCCATGTGCTCTGCTTTGTTTGTATGCTGCTGCTTCATTGCTTTGTTGGCTTGGGCTGCTGGTATGCTGTCAAACAAACTATAGGGAAAATTGAATTAAGAGAAGGTAGAGTTAGGGATTAGAAAAAAAAGGGCCTTTCAAATTACTAGTGGGCCTTAACTGTTGGCCCTTAACTGTTAGAAATTAGGAATTGGGTTAACTATTGGGCCTTTCAATCTACTACTTTGTTGGGCTGCTGCTGTCAAACTTTTAGGCCTTTTAATTTTTTAATGAGTCAATTTATTTGAAGTTAGTTTGGGTCTTTTAAATTTTTTTTTAGATTTTAAACATACTTAATATATTATATTAAATTATAATAGGAGGAGACTTCTTTTTAAAATCTATTTTGAGGGGCCATAAGCTATAGCCTTGTGGACCTATGGCCAGAGTCGGGCCTGACCTCTATAATCTTTCTTTTTTACAAAAGAAAAAAAAAACACACATACACATACAACAAGACCTCTCTAAAAATTAAAAATTAAAGCCATAAATTATGGGGAAAAAAATCCAAAATCTCATCTAAAAATTAACAGAGAAACAATAAATCAAGGAAAGAGGTGGACATTTTCCAATGACAAATGGTTGCGAGTGGCGATAATTCGCACAATATTTCCATCTTTTCCCCCTAATGAGGGCCAAAGCCCAAAATAAGAAGATTAACAAGTAGATACTAAACGAAGTCAACTCCCTCAATATCTCTCGTTTCTCTTCCCTCCAAAGAAAAAAAAAAGTTCTCAATATTTTTATAAATTTGTGATAAGAAGATTTTAGCCTTTAATAACCATATTCTTTTGATTACGTCAATAAACACTCTACAAAATAAGTATAACAAATTACAAAAAAACCAATAGCGAAAGCCCTCTTTTCCACCAAATTTAAGCTATGTTTGGCATGTAGATTTGGATTGGATTGTGACTATTTAAGTCACAAAAAGATAAAATTGACTTTTAATTTAATAAGATAAAATGTCACATCAAACTATAATCATTTTATTTTTTCTCTCACAAAAATAAAAAAAAAAGTTAAAAAGTCTATTTCAAACGAAACTTTTTAATCTTAAATTAAAATAGTCAAAAAATTAATTCACATTATAAACGAAGGCTTATTCAAAATATCAAATGAAAGAACATTCATGAAGATAAACAGACATGTGATATAAGTTTTAAAAAAAAATTCATTGAAGGTATCATCCTATACAATTCCACACAATTCACCCACCATAGAACACTTCCCACTGCCCTGAAGCAACCTCCATGAATGTTTAACTGTGCATTTCCCAAGATTGCCCTCCAAACAAACTCAAAAATTCCTGAAAAGATTTGTAAATGTTTTGCCAAGGAACTCCACACTTTTCAAGCCTTGGTTGGAAAATCCTTGACGAAAAAAGCCCAAATTTTCTGATTCAATATAGGCCCGTTCTTCTTCTCTCAATCTCATTAAAGCCCCCATAAACAATCTTTCATACCCAAAATACCCCTCTCTTCAATCCAAAATTCCATCCCCTTTACCTCAACAAAAAGATACTGAGTTCTTGACCGGGGGACTCATCCGGGTTAATCAAATGGAAAGACTCCGAGTCCGGTCCGCCCACCACACACTCATAATTACCCCTCATGAACATGAGCTCACCTTCGCCCGACGACCCAGCCCCTAACCCGGATGGAATAACACCCGCCCCGGTCGTAATGTTCCGCATTGTCTTTAACATGAGTTGGTTCGCTTCGGTGGCCTTTCTCCGAACCGCCAACCCGAGTTTCCGCCCGTTGCATAACATGGTCCAGACCAGGACCGAACGGAGCGGCCATGGACTCATTTCGGGTTCGAATTGGTCACGACATTCAAGCGTGATCCGAACGGGTCCGGCCCGCATTTCTTGGATGAGATGGAAAGTGGGTGTGGGTAGTTCGAGGAGGAGGGTGGGTCGGGTGCTGTGGCGGTCGGGTTGGACACAGAACCAGACGTGGCCGCGGCGGTGTCCGAAGATGGTTCCGATCACCATCATCTTGGAGAACCGCAGCGGAGCCACCGAGAGAGTGGCGGCGGCTACGGTGGTGGAGCTTCCTTCTCCATCTCCTCCGACGAAGTTTTCGTGGGGTTTTCGAAGCTGGTCTTCGACGCCGAGAAGCGAAGTGGTGTGGAGGTTTTTGAGAATGGGACAGGTGGTGGTTCCGGGGAGGAGGAATCGAAAGAAGGCGAGTCGGGTTCGGATGCACAACCAGACGTGGCGGCGACGGTGGGTGGTGGAGCCTTCTCCTTCTGGGTTTTTTCGAAGTGGGTCTTCAACGTCGTCGAGAATGGAGGTGGTTGGGCGCTTCTTGGTGGTGGATTTGGCGGCGGAGGAGGTGTTGAAGCAGGGGAGGAGGAATCGAGTGTGGATGCAGAACCAGAGGTGGCCGCGACTGTGGCTGAAGATGGTTCGGATCATTTTGGTCTCGGATGGTGCTACAGATTGGGTGGCGTCGGCATTTTGATGGGTTTTTCGAAGTGGGTCTTCGATGTCATCATGACTTAGGCGTTTCTTGGTGGCGGGGGCGGAAGTGGTGGTGGCGGCGGCGGGGGTGCAGCAAGGAACGACGAATCGGCGGAAGAACCTTTGTCATGGTATGGTTTCTAGGGAGAGAGAGAGAGAGAGAGAGAGAGAAGAATGAGGAATGGAATTGGAAGATGGGTTGGGATTTGATGTATGGAAGTTTGAACTGGATTGTGTTGTTGGGTCTGTAAATATATGTATTTATATATAAATAGAAGAATAGTGTGTATATATACACACATAGGATACATAAGGACTTATGAATAGACATAGACATAGACATTGTATTGTATTGAGGGTTACAGTGGTGAAGAATTAAGGAAGGAATTCTGATAGAAAAACAAGGCCTAAAAGGCACAGTCCCAGCTGTAGCAATTAGGCAATTGGCTAGCTACAACTTAACTGGAGGCTCGTACTTAATTTAGCACTCTTTTATTAATGGAAGTGAAAATGGAAATAGAAATTTTATCCTCTAAACAGAAAGATAAAATATGTCGCAGTTATATAATTTTATGCTTTCTATATTTTTATAGGTTAATCGGTGAAAAGTCTTCACTCACTAGATTATGGGGGTGTTTGGTGAGGTTTTTTTGAGCCAGCTTATGGCTTCTGGTTTTTAAAAAGTTATTTTGAACTGTTTAGTTAAACTTATTTCAAACAACTTCTGATTAAAGTGATAATCTATAATCTGTTAAGGTACAATCTATAATTTGTTTTAAGAGCTACACCAAACAACACCTATATGTTATTGAGTCTAAGTTTTAATCTATTTTGATGATAAAAATACTCGTTGAAAAATTGTCAAAAAAATTGATTAAAAAGCTATGGAAAAGTCATTGGTGGTGGATGGAGGCGAGGTGGATAGATAAATGACATTAAACATAAATTTAAATAGATAAATAGATAAACAAGCTTTTAGACATAGATATCCCTAGATCAATTTTCTTTTTGGCTAAAAGGATTTAAAAATTTTTAGAAATGAAACTGTTTTATTTTTATATAATAGGTTCTATAAGTAAGACCAATCAAATTTTAAAAATAAATGGTTATTATAATATTGCTTCTCACAATTTAACGAAAAATATTTCATAATCTATTTATTTTTTTGTCATTTTTTTATGTCGCTGAATACTTATTATCAATACTCTTATTTTAAATGTCTTCAAGGTTCTTGTCAACAAAATTTCCTGATAATGTGAAATTATCAATTTAATTTTTTGGATTTGGTCTAGTGGTTTTGTAGTCACACACCTTAAGGTGTGGTGAGAGAAAGGCCTATAGTTCGAGCTGATGAAGCAGTGACGATCCCTTTAATTGTAATCTAATTTTACTAACAAATTAACATCTTACCATCTTAAAAAATAAATAAATAGGACAGTAGAAGTGGGGGTGGTTGTTTTATCAGTAATATACTGTAGTATCTTTTCATAATTTATGAGAGAAATGAAGAAAATAAAGGTAACAGATAAGAAAGAAAGAAAAAGAAAAAAAAATAGATCTCTCGTCATGTATTGTATCCTTTTCTTTGAGAAAATAAAAAAGTAGGTGTTATGTAAAAGAATAAATACCGTAGCCACTTTTCATTATTAAAAATAGAATAAATTATAAATACAACCTTGGGATATACTTGTAAAATGAATTATTCATGTAATTTAAAAAATTATAAATACCCCTTTGTAAAAATTTATTGTTTAATAAAATTAATTAAAAAAATAAAATTTTTAACTACTCTTCTGCAAAATAATAAAAAATACCTAAATTATATTTATTAATTATTAATGAAAATATATTTATGACATCATTAAAAATTATTTATTAACTTCATAATTTATTGATAAAATGAATCATTTATTATGAAATTAGAAATTAAAATTTTAATTTGATTCGTTCAAGTTGTAATAATTTTTTTAGGTAAATTATTCATGAAATAAATTAAATTGATCGGATATCACTAGTCACATATTTGAATAAACTAAAAATATAATTACAAGAATATAATTTCAGTTCTTCAGTAGAGCTGAAGAAGAGAGCGTGGTTGTTTTATCAAGATGGGTTCTTCAAAATGTGAATTCTGAATTTAAGAATAGATTCAAAGAAAAACAAAAAAGGAAGAAAAAGTTAATGAAATAGAAGCCTTCTTTTTTCTTTTTCTTTTTTTGGGCAAAATTCCATTCCATTTTCTTTTCTCTCCACAAATCCAAGATTCAAACACACAGTATAACTAGAATTGTGCACACATTATTACCAAGTATAGAGAGGTGGTTGTCAAAATTGCAACATTAATACCAGGAAAATCCCCTACTGAAAAATACATGAAAACTGCCCCCATAAAATGCTCATTGTGCTTGTTTCTAAAAGGTTCAAGGTCTCCAAGCATCATAGTAATGTTTGCGTTGGACACATTCTTTGATATTAACTCCAACAAAACACTTCAGGGAATGCTTCATTTTAAGCAAAAAGAAAAAAGAAAGACATACAGTTATTGCACCCCACTCCATCGGGCCCAGTCCACAAATTGCATCCCACCATAGACATTGTTGGCAAATCGCACACCAACTGTAAAAGCCATTGCGACAGGTGGAACCTGCTTTGCAATAGGAGACGATTCTACCAACCGTTCCAATCCATTGACAATCTGATAGCGGGTGTTGGAAGACACTGCTAGGAAAACACCTGTGCATAATGGGGGGTAAGATCGATTTCAGTCAAAACTTCATCAAGAAAAAATTTACCCGGTATTGATTAGCTAACACATCAGCCAGAACACAAAAGAAGTAATGAGGTTGGATGGACTGAACTATGCTTAACAGACAAATTGGATCGTGAAGCTCATCAAACAATGAAATTCATACTTGCCAAAGTCACAAGCAACACCATAAATTTGAAAATTTTGCTCTGAGAGTGGAGTGGAAACAAGAAATATGATAATATGCCAGGAAGAAACTAGAGAAGAATTTTGTTGATGGGGTCTTAGGTCAATGCAGATGAACATAAGAAGCTTTCTCATGCTTCTGCTATAACTTGCAATAACTGAAGATGGGGATAACAGCTCGGGACATTCCCTTTTCCATTGCTCGAGTACCCAGAGAGATGAGTTTAAGTGTCCAGGGTATCTTTTTTTAACAGAAACTACTATTTGACCTGTAAAATTAAAATAGGAGTCGGATGATATGTGCTGAATGAATTATCATCACCATGTTTCGGATAGAAAAGCAGATAAACATGTTTAAACCACACTAGCAACATAAATAATTAAGCCAAGTAAAGCTTAGTAGAAATATTCTTTCCATATGACATAGCTTGGGGCCTATGTTGCATTGACTCGAGTACAAGCATTGGGTGCAAGTGCATGTCTGAGTGTTAGACCTTCATAATCTTAAATCTTAGAATATTGGAATATTATCCAAAAGTAAGATATGGGTATGGGAATACATCATAGACGCTTGTATATATTGTAGATTTTATAATATTCTTGGATAAGATGTTGAAAATTTTGCATAAATGTACCTAAAATTAAATAGGATTTAGCAAAAATATAAAATTTCTATCCATCATTTATGTGAGGTTAAAAATGTTTCTTTACTAGCAAATGTGAGTTTCTTCTTCATTAAACATAGCAAAAACTTAGAGGATCTAAGTGTCTAAATTGGGTACAAGTGTTGTACACATATCCCATACCTTTTTACCCTTGTCATAGTCAGTAGACACGGGTACATAGAAAAATCCATGTAACACAGCCTGGAGCAACCTTTATGTTCTATAATTAAGTTGTTAAACTATGCCTGATACCAGCTCAATAAAATGGAAATTTAGTCCATCCGATTGGGCATCTAGTGTTCCAGGGGTCATTCCTCCACTGAAAAGCTATAGGAATATAGGTGCGTATTAAAAATGTAAAGCCAAGTTGACTTTGAGAAAGAAGGGCCTTATATTGGTATTAAACCTCAGTAAAGGCGTGTTAACACTTTAGTTTGATTGCTTCTTAGACCCCGTCCTCCTCCCTATTAACTCGACAAATGTTTGGGAAAGTCAGTCATATTATATATTAAACTACATAGAAGCAGAGTGAGGGTAACTATAAATAAATAAACAAAAATGAAGAGGAAATATTTGAGATTATAAATCATATTATGTATAGATACATACTCGAATGGTTAGAGAACTTGTAAGATTGATAACAATCAATTTACTTGTAGAATCCAAAACTATTTTTTGAGAGCAAATCAGAGAATTGAATTAAAGAACCAGAAACAAGATCATGATTGATGAATCAAGGCATACCCCAAAGAGCTGCACTCTTAATAAGAGGTGGAACCGGTATGTCCTCTTCTGATTTTCTTATGTTCCTGTTACGTAAAAAGAAAAAAAAAATATGATGAGAAATTATCAAAAACAAGGAAATTTTGCCAACTTCTATGTCATATACTTAAATGCGAAACCAATTTGACAATTTGGACCATTTCTCAATTTGTGCATGTCATCCTTGCACAGGGGCCCTGCTGCTATTAATATTGTTTCTAGAAAAGGTAAAATTTAGACTATTACAGTCAAAGAACAGCATCTTTATACTCCAAGGCAATGAAAAGACAATCCCCCTGCGCATAGGACTGTTCAATGCATCAAGATGTTAAATATCAACCTAAATAATCAAACTAAATCAAAGCCATCGTTGTTGCACCAATTTCATACAACTTGTAGCACAAAAAATTAATGCCATAAATTACAGTGATAAGTCCCTTCTCATTTGTGTTGGAGATAATATTCTCCAACTAATGGTTTCTACAAATCATACCAAATGGGACAACAGCTGCAGTAACCAGCAAGAACATGAAAATATGGCTTAGCAGGATAGGTGCAAGTTATATAATGAAAAGTTGTGTTTTGTTTTTTTTCTTTCATTTATGGCACAGTAATCTTTTGGCCCACTTTTCATGTTATTGCTTTTCGAAAAAACCATGGAGAAAAAAGTAGTTTTTTTTTTTTGGGCAGCAAATCTGATATTCTTATAGTTGGCAAGTTCAAAATATTAATGTCCACATGATGATGCATTAATTAACGAGGAACAACTCAAACTTCCTCGTGACAAAATGCCATTATGATCAGGTGCAACTAACCTAAGGAAAAGTTCTATATTAATGTTCTCATTTATTGTGCATTAATCCTTTGCTTGCGTATTTTGTTGGGTATGTGGATCTTGATAAGTACTGTTCACTCAACCCTGGGTCTACTGGGGGTTTGGGGGGCTCCCCCAAGGGGAAGGGGTCCAGGGGTACTTTAGTAATTTTCATGTTGCTTCCGCATTGCCCTTATTCTATACTTATAAATAGATGAAGGGGGTGCCTCTTTTAGGTTAAAAGAGTTGTATTGTTTTCTGATCATAGTAGACCGTAGCAGCCGTGGACATAGCTCTATTGTAAATCCTTGTGTTTTTGTGTGTGTGTGTATAATTTGCTTGATACGTTTTATTTTTCTTATTTGTTATTTCGTGTCTCATTGATCCTGGTTAGGAAGAGTTAGTTCCTAACATATTTGTGTTATTGCCTTTGAAACAATTCTCAACTCAGCAACTCAAGAAAACAAATGTTTCCAACAACAACTACACTGAGGCTAAGGCTCCTAATATAGCAACTTCCAAATCACAATGAAATTCATACAATGAAGAAGGCATTGCCAAGATTTACTTATGCATAATGCACATATGGATAAGGAAAGTAACAAGCATAGAACATAAAAAGTTACGATGCGTTGTCAAGGATTTTATTTTATTTTATTTTATTTTTGGTAAGCAAGGATGGAATGGAAAACAAAACAGTCTCATTACAAGTCGATGCCAACTGTTGAGCAGAAGATGAAGAAAGGGTAATGAATAAAGTTGAACATACATAGTTTAGTGGGCTGATAACTAGGGTCAATAGCCAAGAAATATGCAACAACCTGTCCTTAGAATAGAAGTGAAGAATAATATTGGTCCTAATTTTCATAACATTGTGTCACTCTTACTCAAAAGGTGGTATACCACTTTATTATCCTGGCCTTCTAAACCTAATGCAGAAAATTTGGGTCTACACATAATCAAGTAGCATGATCCTCAATGTTGTTCAACTCAAACAGACCTAATTTCATTGGAAATTTTTGTGCAAACATAGGGAGGGGGGAAAATGACATGGAAAAAAGAAATAGTTTCCGTTGCTCATGGACCAGACCCTTTTTTCTTCCCCAACCCCCAACACTTTGTTGTTATTTGACATGCAATAATTTCTATATGCCTATTATGATCCAGTTGTTATAGAAGGGCCAATGGCCAGTCCAACTTTTATAAACTACAAGGATGACACTCACAATGTGACAGCGAATACGGAAGTACAAGAAAAATTAGGGAATAAGGAGATGTAGAAAATTTCATTGGTGTATAAAATAACTGTCAGGGTTTTATTGACAATCTTGAAGAAAAGACAAAGGCGACAACAAAGGTTCCTCCGCTTAATAACTAGTAATAATATGATCCAAAAATGATATCCAATTCAAACTAAAAGCTAAACCTTAAACAAAAGTCCAGGCAAACCAGATTATGACAGAAACTGGGCTGTGATCCACTATAAAAGACTATAGATAACAACTCACAATGTTGTTACAAGTTCAACTATGCCTCAAGAAACCAAGAAGAATGCATGCATAATTTTAAGGAAAATAAAACCAAAAAAAACACAAAAAAAAAAAAAACACAAAAAACAAAATACAAAGTTGAAACAAGAATGAATACAAAACGTGTCTAGAAAGGAGCACACCTCTTGGCAGTCATTATCAAATTTGCAATGCCTTGACCTATAAGACCACATGCAAACCCAACTGATCCATACATAACACCCTGAAAACATAGCACATAGAACAATTATATGCTGCAAAAAGATATAACCACAAACAACCTCCACCAGAATCTAGTTAAGCAAAGAAGAGATATATCTAAGCGACTATTGGGAAAAAGAATGAAATATTTGCATTAGAAATAAAAAATTTCATGTGTCCATCTGATACTCTTCTCTTCGACAAATGGTCTAATGACAGCCAGTTACATCAGATATGTGGGTATGCTACCTTGAAAAAGTAAGTAGCAATCCTTTGCTTCACCGAAAACCTACATCCTGGCCTTTCAGCTTCAAATACACTGCGTAAGATAGCATTTGGACATAGATAGATTAAGCAAATGATATTAAAAGAAGAAAGTTAATGAATTCCTAGTTTTGTAATGAATTACTAGTTTTGCATCAAGTTGTTAGGTTAAGTGAATTACAACCCATCAAGATCCAAAGACAAAATTTTTTAATTGATTTCTCTTTTGAAAGTCAATAAATTTTTTATAATTGAATTATGTACAGTTCTTGGAGTCTTATTAGCAACCTGCTAGGAAGATCGGCATAAGCATGTTGCATACGTCCAAGAACCCCTTTAGATAGAGATGGTTGCCCAATACGAGCATAAGGTGCTAGCATACCAACTAAAGCAACATTAACAACCACCCCAACCAACAGATCTGCAAGATACAACTCAAATTCCGCCCAGAAGTCTTTGCCCCTCTTTTGAACTTCTGCTAATGTAGCACAACAAGAATCTATAACAATCTGCATCATGTTAAATTGTGATTGTAAATTTGTAACTCATATAGGAACTAAAGCAATCAAAGTAGCACAAAAATCAATGTTAATCTGACAACAAAAATATAGTGACAACAGAAAATTTACTTATTTTGATAATATATGGAATCACAATTTAAAGTCACGGGATCCAAATCATATCACGTAGAAGTCCAACTTCGGGTATCAATTCCTTCTCAATTGTTTATACAATCTCATCCATGCAAGAGTGGCTTATTGCTTAAAGCAGATGAAATTGCTAGAAAAGTGATCAGTTGTACACATGGATTGGGTGATTCAAATCGTACAATTCGATACAATTCAGTGGGTAATCGACACAAATAGGTTGCATGAATTGTGGTACGAATAGGTTGTATGAATTGCAAATAGTTGTGAACTATGGAAAAATTGGTGAATCGCAGAACCAAATTGCTAAAAAGTGAATCAATCAACTCACTGAATTCAATTTTTGGTCCTTTTTCCAGAAAAGGGTTCAAACAACTTTGTTAAGGTGTTTAGGGTCATTTGTCTTTCTCTCTTCCTATTTACTCTCAAAGACTCGAGCCTTGAAAATATTTTTTTTTCTTTCTCTCTCTACGACATTTAAGCTTGCATATTCAACTTTAAGTGTTTGCACTTACAAAAGGAAACTTTTGAAGTCATCAAGTGGGTTTTTTAAAAAGTTCGGAGATTAGGGTACTTTACCCACATTTGAGGTAAATTTTTCTATTACTTTAGTTGTAAAAGCTTCGTTATTGAGTTATTGTTGCTAAAAGTTGAGAGTTTATGACTGATAAGAAAAATCTAAAAGGAAAATTGATAATGTGATGATCCTACATGGGACCATTGTACACTTAACTTCTTTTATGATGAATCTGGAATCCTTGTTTCGTTCTAATTTTTATATGCACATGTATGATGTGAATTGTCGTAAATATAGCATAATTGACAAATTTTTCTATTACTTTAGTTGTAAAAGCTTCGTTATTGAGTTATTGTTGCTAAAAGTTGAGAGTTTATGACTGATAAGAAAAATCTAAAAGGAAAATTGATAATGTGATGATCCTACATGGGACCATTGTACACTTAACTTCTTTTATGATGAATCTTGAATCCTTGTTTCGTTCTAATTTATATATGCACATGTATGATGTGAATTGTCGTAAATATAGCATAATTGACATTGTGACCGTCATTCAAAAAATTATATATACATATAATATACTTTTAATATCTAAATGTATAGAAGTATTTTTCTATCTAAATTAAAAATATGATAGAATCTCTTACGATTCACAGTTCGACAACTATGGTATACTCAAACTTATCCCTGTGATTTAGCAGACCAAGCACTAATATATATCAACAATAATAACCAAGTCAAGGAAGCTTAACAAACCTCTGTTCCAACTTTAAAAAGAAAAGCTGGGTCAGCCAACATTCGATTCCGAAGCATAGAGCAAGACTTCATTGCAAATCCTAGAGGCCATGCTGACCCCTGCATATAAAAAACCCACTAATTGTCACCACAACAGCTATACACAACATAACAGACAAATGCAAGTCTTGCACAACTTAACAGAAACAATTGTTAATCCTAAGAACATGCAACAAAGCTATACCTGCAAGTCCAAATATCTAATCAGAAGCACTCTCTGAATTCCTACACTCTTCGCCGCCTCTAACATGTCCACCGGAAGAGTAACCCCCCGAGCCTCCGCTTCTTTAATCACCTCCTCAAACTTCATTATTGGCCCAAACTCATCTTCTTCCTTGTCATCATCCCCTTCATTATCACCACCTCCACCTCCACCACCACCACCACCTAAAACTTTCCCATTACCATTATCATCGCCACCACCTCCACAACTAGTTTCTGGTACATAATTAGCTTCCAAAACCCCAAAATCCTTCCCAACAGAACCACCACCATCACTTTCTTTCGAAAAAATTGTCTCTACAACACCAGATTGGGGCTCAGAATCCGAATTCAAAGCATTCACAACCACAAGCCTCTGTTTCCTCTTATTATACAAAAAGTCTCTACTTTTCATCGAACAAGAAATGATTCGAATGTCAGCAATCTTCAAATTCTGATTCCGGACAGTCCCAGAAACAACCTCATTTTGCAAACCCACATGCAGTGAAAACCGAATACTCGATGAACAACCCGCCATTACCCTCTCTTGATCTCAGCTAAAAATGCTAACAGAGATCTAATCAACAACAACCAAAAAAAAAAAAAAAACCAAAGAAATTATCAAAATGACTGAAACTAAGAGTTATTAATTTAGAATTATCCCCTCGTTAAGCTTTTCCGGGAAAATGCGTCTCCCAATAACTTTTCCGGAAAAATGAGGAAAACAGATCGGAAAAGGAGAGAGAAAATTGTTGAGAAGTGGGTAGAAATTGAATTATTCAGAGAATATTTGATTCTGAAAATGATGTGTGTATATATATATGAGAGTGAAACTCAGAGAGAGAGAGAGACGTTATAGTTTCTGTTCTAACGATTTGCGAGGGTTTTTCTCTCTCCACAGTGATGGGCGGTATCTGGGTCTCGCACGTGGGAGGAGTTTCATGCGTGAAATCTAGGGTTTGATTGTGATGTGAAGAACGCCAGCCCATTTTGAAGAAAGGTCAAAGCCCACCTTACCACTAGTCCAACTTTTAATCATGAAATTCAACTCAAAATAGTATTTTATTTTAATTTTTTATTTTATTCATAAGTCCATTAATCTATTTTCATAGTTTAAAAAAAAAAAAATTGTTAGCTCTTACTAAAAAGTTATTGATGTTTATACCCAGCCACATGAGAGACTTGGAAAAAATTTATAGTCCTGTTTGGTAGAGTTGTGAGAAAATATTTATAATTTATGCCTTAACAGCTTATAACTTATAATTATGAACATAAGTTGATTTCTGACTTATAAATTAAGCATCTCCTGCCCTATTCAAAGAATAAGCTGATTTCTGACTTACAAAAAGCTATAAACTGCATTGTTAAGCTAAACCAAACACATCAAAATAACTTAAATTAAACTAAAAACTAAAACAAACAACTTTTAAACTACACCAAACAGGCACTAAAACTGCTTTGCTTAGGATGTTTTTTTTTATATATATACTTTTTATACAGACTCATCTATTAAAATAATGTGGCAAGGAATTATTTTAATATTAAAAGATATGTTTTGGCGGATGTCTTCTTTTTACAGTGATAGACTAACAACTCTATCACATCTGTATATATTTTATTTATGAATAAAGGTTGAGACTTCCTTTGGGGTCACTCCCTTTATCCTTTTTAATTTTAATTGGTTAATTTTTTTTTTTCTTCTCACCTAATTCCTAACTTCCATATGTGTGAGGGGGTTGTGGGGTGGGTGTTTTAAGGGGGTCTAAATTAGAATTATAACATAAAATTCATATTTTTTATAATAATGCATACATATGTGATGGTGCGAAACTATTTAAAGAAACTTGCACAAATACGAACAATAAAACATTTTTTTCTTCGCAATTTAAAATAAAATAAAATTGAAAACATAAAATTAAGTAAACAAACAAACCAATTTTATTGAAAGCATAATATTTTTAGGGCAAATTACATATACCCCCTCGAGATTTAGTAAAATTATAGATACCCCATGAGGTTTGAGAAATTATAGATACCCCCTGAAGGTACTATTTGCATAACAAATTAGGAGGCAAATTGTTATAAAAATATAAACCTCAGGAGGCAAATTGTTATGAAAATATAAACCTTAGGAGGCAATTTGTTATGAAAATATAAACCTCAGAAGGGGGCATTTGTAATTTTTGAAACCTCAAGGGCGTATCTGTAATTTAGCTAAACCTCAAGAGAGGTATATGTAATTTGCCCATATTTTTATTTTTATTTTTTTGAAAACACGCACACACAAATTAACTAACCAAACAAACCATTTTTTTTAAAAAACGACGTCTTTTTTGAATTTTTTATTTTTATTTTCTCTCTTTTCTCTCTGAAAGGAGAGAAAAAAGAGAAGACAGAATAGAGAAGAAAGAGACAAGAGGGAGAAAGAGAGACGATGTGCTGGAGGGAGGGCTATACACACAGATCTATGTGTATATGTATACACAGAGTAACGTTGATGGTAAGGGTTTGCGACGGTGAGCAACAGTGATGGCAAGGGGTGACCGTGATGGAGTGTTTGTACACAGATCTGTGACCTCTCCTTCTTCCTCTCTGTTTTATCTGTTCTTCTCTCATTCTTCCTCTGCTCTTCTCTCATTTGTGTAGATTTTTGATTTTTTTTTATATGTTCTTCTCTCATTCTTCATCTGTTTTGAATTTTTTTTTTTTTGATATGTTCTTCTCTCTTTCTTTCACTGTTCTTAGTTTTTTTTTATGATTTTGATTTTTTTTTATTTGTGTAGATTTGATAGATTTGTGTAGATTTATGTATTTTGATTTTTTGATTTAGATTTAGATTTAGATTTAGATTTAGATTTAGATTTAGATTTAGATTTTTTCCAAGAGCAGAGCAGAGAGGAAAGGAAGAAGAGAAGGGGAGGAAGAAGAAGAGAAAAATAAAATAAAAAAATCAAAATGACGTCATTTTGATTTTCAGGCCAATCGAGCCTCGAGAATTTCGAGTTATCTAACAGGACTGTAGATGTTTATACCCACACACATGAGAGACCTGGAAAAAGTTTATAACGGCTTTGCTTAGGATTTTTTTAATTTTTTTTTAATACTTTTTATATAGAAGCATCCATCAAAATAATGTGTGGATTTTAATATTAAGGTGTACTTTGGTGGAACTGTTTAAAGAAACTTGCAAAAATACGAACAATAAAACATTTTTTTCTTCGCAATTTAAAATAAAATAAAATTGAAGACATAAAATTAAGCAAACAAACAAACCAATTTTATTGAAAGCATAATATTTTTAGGGCAAATTACATATACCCCTCGAGGTTTAGTAAAATTACAGATACCCCCCTGAGGTTTGAGAAATTATAGGTACCCCTCTAAAGATACTATTTGCATAACAAATTAGGAGGCAAATTGTTATGAAAATATAAATCTCAGGGGGCAATTTGTTATGAAAATATAAATCTCAAGGGGGTATTTGTAATTTTTGAAACCTCAGGGGCGTATCTGTAATTTAGCTAAACCTCGAGAGAGGTATATGTAATTTGCCCATATTTTTATTTTTATTTTTTTGAAAACACGCGCACACAAATTAACTAACCAAACAAACCATTTTTTTAAAAAAACGACGTCGTTTTTGAATTTTTTATTTTTATTTTCTCTCTGAAAAGAGAGAAAAAAGAGAAGACAGAATAGAGAAGAAAGAGATAAGAGGGAGAAAGAGAGACGATGTGCTGGAGGGAGGGCTATACACACAGATCTATGTGTATATGTATACACAGAGTAACGTTGATGGTGAGGGTTTACGACGGTGAGCAACAGTGATGGCGAGGGGTGATCATGATGGAATGTTTGTACACAGATCTGTGACCTCTCCTTCTTCCTCTCTGTTTTATCTATTCTTCTCTCATTTGTGTAGATTTTTGATTTTTTTTTTGATATGTTCTTCTCTCATTCTTCATCTGTTTTGAATTATTTATTTATTTATTTATTTTGATATGTTCTTCTCTCTTTCTTCCACTGTTCTTAGTTTTTTTTTTTTTTTATGATTTTGATTTTTTTTTTATTTGTGTAGATTTGATAGATTTGCGTAGATCTATGTATTTTGATTTTTTGATTTAGATTTAGATTTAGATTTTTTCCAAGAGCAGAGTAGAGAGGAAAGGAAGAAGAGAAGGGGAGGAAGAAGAAGAGAAAAATAAAATAAAAAAATCAAAATGACATCATTTTAATTTTCGGGCCAATCTAGCCTCGAGAATTTCGAGTTATCTAACAGGACTGTAGATGTTTATACCCACACACATGAGAGACTTGGAAAAAGTTTATAACTGCTTTGCTTAGGATTTTTTTAATTTTTTTTTAATACTTTTATATAAAAGCATCCATCAAAATAATGTGTGGATTTTAATATTAAGATGTACTTTGGTGGATGTTTTTTGTGTGGATGATTTTCCGACCACACTGCCCGCTTAGTAACCAGCTAGAGAGCACTGGCAGAATAGATGGTCCCTGTCTTACCTGTAATAGAAATATAAGAATCCCGCGGTGGTTTCGACCACCCGGGGGCACTCCAACGATCATGTCAGTATATCTCAAAGATAAATCAAGTACTAAACTCACAAGCTTGAGTATCAAAAGCATACCTTAGACCCATGGGGGTGCCTCTCTTTTATAGCCAATACAATCCTAGTCCCAAAAGGAGCCTGGCCCTAATGGACTTAGGATTACTGCTAATCTGGGACTCCCAGTGGGATTAGGATAAACTCTCTAAGAGTCTTATCTTTACCCAAACTGAAGTCTTCTCCCAATCTAGGACTCTTGTCCATATCCAAGTTGAGTTCCCTCTTCATTCTAGGACTCTTGTCCTTTATCCGCTTATCTCAGTTTCCGATATCTTCGGAGATAACCTCGGTCTTGCCGAGATCACCTCGGCGTCACGACCAGGACACGTGGCATCTCGGTTGACACGTCGGCGTCACCTTGCCACGTGTTGGTACTCAGAAAATATATCCCCACAACTGCCCCTAGGTTCTATTACCTCGGTATTCTGAGGTGATGGAACCTAAACTGTTCGTTCACTTGTGCCCCTCTGTCCGAGATCAAATTCGCCAACCTCAAAGTTCCCTGGACTTTACTGTCCACTAATGTCAAGAGTCAAGTTTTATGCTTTCCAAGCTGCTTGAAATCATACCTCCTAGCCGAGATTCTGGTTCCATTAATTCGTAAACTCCAAGAGTTTTGCAACTGCTCCACTCACACTCTCTGGTGAGTTCCTGATTTCCAGTCACCAATTTGACTCCGGCGATTTTCATATCGGCGTTCATTTCACTTTTGTAGGCTCATAAACTATTACTTTTTTATTAAGCTCAATCTTTCATAACTCTTCTGATTTACTTTGAATCTGTTTATTTGCCATCTGTGGCCTTTTGTTCTCGTCTATCTTCAAGTTTTTGATTTCTTATTTGCTAAAATGCCTGGAATTGTTCTTTGTCATATCCGCTTTCTGTTGCGAGCATCATGTCTGGTTCATTACTTTCTTGTTCTTCACATACTTACTTAGTGCCTGTGCACTTGGCTTTATTCTTTGAACTTTGTCATCTTCTTGACTTCTGTTTTTCTCTTTTTTTCATTTAATCCTCTGGCTTCTTCGCTTTCTAGCTCTTTTGCTTGAATCCGCCATTTGTTCCAAGCTTTCAAGCTTCTGCAACTGTCTTCGTTTCTCTCCACCGGTGAAGCTTTACGTCATTCTGTCATTGTCGTCAAACTTCGACAATTCTCATTCCGGCTTCCCTCTTTCTGGTAAGCCACTGATCCTCCTGGTTTATTTCTTGTTGCTTTCCAAGAAGCTCTGCTTCATTGTTAATCACCATTGCTTGTTTTACCCGTT